TTTAGCTAATAAAAAATTTATCAATTGTCTTATGGTAGCAGAGCAATGCTTAAATCTTTAATCGTGCTGGTTTGCCCTTGCAATAAAATGCTCCTCATCCATAAATTCGTACTCGCAGCTTAATTCTTACAGCCGTCTGCCATGAGTGCAGTCACGAATGGCCCAGTAATTATGGCCAGGCGTTAGTTATAATTGAGTCGTGCTGCAGTTGGCTGCACTCACGTTTCTTTGATTGGGGCGGGGGAAGTCGCTTTAAAGCGCAGCTCATGCAACTTAATGCGAAGAAAACACGCGTCTTTGTTTGACTTCGACATTGGGGCAAATAATTTACATGGTGACCCGCAGAATCTTTCGCCAGAGTCCATTTGTCATGCATGCAGCGTGCAAATGCAGACACTCACAGAAAGAGAGAGAGAGAGAGAGAGAGAGAGAGAGAGCGAGGGAGAGGTTGTGGTACTTACCCTCAGCTCCATTGGGCAGTGGTATCAGCTCGCCACCTTCGCGTCGCCAGGTTATCGTTGGCGTTGGCGACCCGGTCGCGGCGCATTTGAGGGTTACGTTTGACCCCTCGCGTATGACCATGTCCGTGCTGGTGGGATAGTCCAGTATGTCTGGTGGCACTGTGTGTACACCCACACACACACACACACACACACAGATGGTTATGGCAACAGTTACAAGCGACATATTATTCATACGCCGCGTGGGCCGTGCAACGATGCAATGGAGTCCATGAATTGTTCGCCAGGTGTCAGCAGTTGGCAGCAGCAGCAGCAGTGTTTGTTCATTGTTGTTGTTGTTGTTGACATTGTTGGTTGGTTGGTTATTTGGTTGGTTTACAGTTGTTGTTGTTGTTGGTGACATGTGAGTGAGAGAAAATGCAATAAAGAATTTTTGTTGAGTGGCTTTATTTCCATCAGGCTTTTAACAAATTGTCGCTACTCTGTCTAACTGTTTCGGGGCCATAATTGATTATTATAAATTTTGCATAGGTTTAATATGTAGGTACCAAAAACGTGGACTATTTTGCTGAATAAACAATAACCCATTAAATAAATATAAAATATATTTAAATATTTTTACAGTTAAATTTACGCAACTTTAGAGTTGCATAATTTTAATGTGTAAATACATAAAACTTTTAATATTTTTTACTGAATTGAAATAAATCTTCAAATAATTATAAGATATTTTTAAATAATTGTTGAATATTATAATATCATTTTACAGTTTTACACAACTTCAGAGCTGAGTTATTGACGCTGACTTTTGGTATACTTCAATCCAGAAGTTTGTAATGAAAAATTGTTAGAAACTAAATCTGAATATGAACTAATAATATATCTCAAATATCCCAAGAATTTCAAAGACTATATCTATAAATACGATGAATTTACTCTACTTATGAAGCACATAGAAGTCCAGCCGATAGGAAATATCAGCAACTAATTATTAAAAAAATTTAACGAATTAGGGTAAGAAATTTTCAAACTTTAATTTATATTCTGAAAATTTCTTGTCTATCCTATTACAAAATTCCTTGGGAAAATTATTCAACTGCTTTTAAAACTGTGCACGAGTATTATACAGTCACATTTTTTACATTTAAAAATATCTGTCATTTGATATTTTTCATTTGTGGCTCTGACTTGTTCAAGAAGTTTTACAATGCAATCTAATCATTGCATTCATTTAGTTTCTGCTACTTTACTCCTGCTATATGTTTTCCCAAGATTTATAGTTCCACAATTGAATTCAATTTCTAGAGTATCATTTGTAATTTTTCATTTGTGAAACACACTTTTATATTTTCTTCATGTTATTGACATTTTCCTTAGACTTGTTTGGATATCTACGATAAATATATTTTCTTGATACATAATAAATAAATTAATGATAAAATAGAAATAATAGAAATCCTTTATTCCAGATAGCCATTCATATAACAAATTTATATTTCTTATATTTATATAAGAATGTAAATTGAAGTCAACATCATATGATTATCTGCATATAATCGCCTCTTGCGCATATTAAATATGACTTTTATTTCTATGACTATGTAAGTGAAAAACGTTTCCGCTTTTCTATATAGATCTACATTGTATCGTACATATGTTTATAATATCAGCCTTGGCTGTCATACTACAACAGCAGCTAAAGTAGATTTTATAGAGATTTCCACAAGGTAAATCATATTATTTGTTTATTGAGATTTAATTTACTTTCTGCTGGCTGCCACAAAATGTTGTGCTATGGTCAAAACTTAAATAAACAGTCATTTGTGCAATTAATGTCTGGTGCAGCTGCGACATCTTCAACAAGTTTTGGGCGCTGCACAAAGTGAATGAGGGACTCATGCATATCCTACAAGGACACGTCGCTTGTTCTCATTTTTGACATTTACATGCAGCGAGAGCTGCAGCCAGCGAGAGAGAGAGAGAGAGAGAGAGAGAGAGAAATAGAGAGACAGAGCGACAGGACCAGGGACTGGAACACGGACCCAGACATGGCTCGGACGCAGACCCGGACCCGGACCTGTCGTTTGTTGTGCGTGCCAGTCTCTGGTGTTACTTGGCAATTAATTATAATTTCACGCTTGACAATTTTTCACTTGCCAAAAAGAGAAGTGAACGACAGCGGCAAGCAATGGGCAGGAGGGAATGGGCAGGGCAGGAGACTGTTTGCTGGCCACTTAATGAGGCAGCCGTACGAGCTGTGCATTTTATAACTGGAGCACTTAAGAGCAGTTTTCAACAGCAGTAATTTGCCAAATCTATATTACACTATTAGCCAATCCAAAGGGAAAGCTGAGTAGAGAGAAAGAGAGGGCGAGGGCGAGGCAGAGAGGGAGGCAGCCTCTACTCAGCTATGACGCATGTCGTCTACACATCGAAACTTGAAAGTCTTCGTGTAAACAATGATGGGCATGTTTTACAAAATGTACTTTTTGCTTTCTCAATCCACATTCACGCACGCATTACGTATACGTCATGTTGAACAAGTTGAGTAGGCCGCACAGCGCCTGTTGACTTGGCCGTAATGGGCTCTGCCGGCCCTGTCGCTCGGCTCAAACACAAAGAGCCGCCACAAAGGTGTGGGGCAAAACGTTTTTATCGCCCCTGTGGCTCAGTGGGTGATAATTTATGAAATGAAGCGAAATGTGATGAAAGATAAAAATTAATTCCAACTGCGCTCAAATTGGGCTCTTGCCTTTGGCACTGATAATAAAATTATACTATATTGGGATTAGGCATTAATCTTAATACATTTTCTAAATGACAATATCTGCCACACTGAGTGCCTAATTGTATTTAACGCTTTGCCTTTTCCTTCTATATTATATTAATTGTAATAAATAATTTTTTGTACTATGCAAAATAAATATACAAATAAAATAAAGCAAATAACAATAATTTCGATAAGCAAAATAAAAACGAATATTGAAAAAAAAAGGATTCTCAAAACGTAAAATATATTGTTAATTTTAAAGTATCTATGAATTTGCTCTATTTAAATTTGCTGAAACTGAAAAGCGCTGGCGTCTGAATGAAAAACACTTATTTGCGGGCTTTGAGAAACACTTAAAAGAAATTTTGAGCAATTGTGATCTGTACGATCTATACGAACTCGCCAAAAAGGGGCGTTACATCTAATATCTATTCTCTAATGGGAATGAATATTCCTTTACTCTAAAAATCAAATAATTATAATTCCTTTATCTTGACGTTGGGAACTATTCCTAATTGTATATATTCATATATTTCATAGCCGAAATCACTTAAATTAATGTTAACTGAAGCATGACTGCTATGTAGCAACACCGACTTAGTCTCTTTTGTTATGTTGAAGTGAATGTCTGAAGAGACCAACTTAAATTAAATTAATATGAAAGCAATCATGAGTTCTGTCCGTAGCTACGCTCAGTCTCCAATATTCTATCACGCAGTGATTCACCTTTAAATTGTGAATTTTTGAAGAGACTAACTAAATTAATATGCCCTCTACGTAGACACCCTTAGTCCCTTACATTATATCACATCGTGATTCACCTTTATATTATGCCTGAACAGACTAATCTAAATTAATATGAAAACATTCATGAGCTCTCTATAGCTACGATTCACCTTTCAATTGTGAGTGTCTTGGACCTTAACTAAATGAATATCAAAGCATTCATGACAGCTGGGGAGCTACTCTGACTAATGACTCGTAAAGTTATTCATGCAGCTGCACCACAATTTCGCTTAACTCTTAACTCTCTTTGCTTAAGCTGAGCAGAGGTCTCTCTCGAACTGGACTTGCTATGGAAATTAGAGATGCTAGAGACAGCTTCTGGAGATATTTTTGCTGCTGTCAGTTGTAAATTCGATGCATTAAAATGCCATTTTTCAAACATTTTACGCCATGCACTGAGTCAACAAATCCTGTTTCGATGTGCCCGCCCAACGTCGTTTTGACACTTTCACAGCTTTTCCACTTGAATGCGCGCACTTGGCTGCGCTCCTCATCTGATACACAGCCAGACAGGCAGACAGACAGACAGACGGACAAATAAACACAGACACACAGACAAACACAGTAGCAGTTCAAGGGGGGGCGCAATCAAGCAATGGCCATCGCCTCCTCCACTGTCATACATCAAAGCTGACCGAAAATGGACAACAAATTTCACGTTCATAAAAAATTGTGGACACATTTTGCTTTTCAGTTTGTTTGAGAATATATATGTATATTTTTTAGTTTTTATGCTGGTGTTTATTTGTTAAAGTTGTAGTGCCTTTGTTTTTGTCGCCTAGCTAGTTGTTTGTGCCGCCGATTGTTTTTGTATGCAAGCCAGCGAGCCATTGAATTATTTATTCGAAACAATATATTTTGCCAATTGATGTTTTGCTTATGGTGTTAAAGGCATTGTCCGTACAAAGCCATATGGTTTATGCCTCTGTGGCTTGCTTCCATATTTTTCATTCGATTCTTTTAGCTATACATTTTATTTGATTTGCATCGCGAACGGGTCTAATAAAAAATATATATCTATCCTTTGGCTGCGCGCTCGGCTATATGTGATATATTTCACTACAAAAATATTTTCTAACGATGTTTGTTTTAGCTAATAGTTTGCGAAAATTGAACAATTTTAGCTGTTTGAAATTCATTTGTTTAGCAAACAAAAATATGCAGAATTTTGTTGAGCTAATAAAATATTATTCTCGCTTTTAATTGAGTTAAATATTTGAATTTCTATTTCAACTGTCTTATTGAATTTTTATCCGACATAAAGATAATCTAAGCCGTGCGCTGGGAGGTTTTTTTTTTTTAATACTATTAATGGTAATATTATTTTTGTAGATTTATATACACACGCGCAATTACTCGTAAGTGCTCCTTATAGGTAAACATTATTATTGTGAAAAAGTTGAAAATGAACTAGTTAAAATACAATAAATATTTGAAGTCTAATTATTCATGTGCTTACACTGATTAATTTTATTTATTTCATAAATTTCTTAGTTTTTAATACAATTATGTATTTGTTTATATTTCTGGTATATTTATTCCCTTAAATTTTTTATGTATGTATAGGAGTTTTTTTTATATATATTTTGCTAAACATTTATTAAGCATTTTGGAGAAATTGTAAATAATGTATGTTTAATAATTTATGTGACAAACGGCAAATTAAGCTGTATCTATTTTCTTGTATATATGTATATATTATTTTGCTAAATAAGTATGTAAACTTCACGGTTTTGCTAAAGTTATGGATTATATTTTATCAGAGCGTAACTAATATTTTAAGTTTATAAGTTTACTTCAATATTACTTTATATTAATGTTAATTTATGTTAATATAGTT